GGAAACAAAGGCATTGTCTGATGCACCTCACGAAGCACTGTTTCAGAATTACTCTCACTTCCTGAATAAAGGTTATCAGGTAATTCATACTTTTGATAGAGCTGTTTTATTTGTGTGAATTTTTTTTTAATGTAAACATACAGAGAAATAAAGCAAAGTTAACAAATTTGCCCACTAAGTAACTCTGAAAAACTGCTGGCTGTTGGCTGCTTACAGACACCAATCCATTCCCTGTCCAGTTCAATCACAGGCATCCTAGTTTCCCAGGGAGTTCCCTGGTGGTCCAGTGGTTAGGACTCGGTGCCTCACTTGTGGTGGGTTCAATCCCTGGTTGGGGAACCAAGATCCTGAAAGCTGCTCAGCACGGCCAAAGAAAAGAAGAAGAGGAAGGTTTCCCGCTTTTTATAGTCGGGTCAAAGAGAGAAATGGCTGGAGAAAAAAAAGTTGCAGGTGGAAGGCCTTGCTAGGGAAGATCCAGCCCAGCCTTTCCAAAGATACCAATTGGTTGGACAGTTTCCTAGAAGGATCAAGCAAAGATTCCATTTCAGTAGAAATCGTAAGTGGTTTGTGGGAATGCTAGGTAAGGCACAAGCTTTGGGGTCAGACTTGTGTTGAGTCCTGGCTCCCCCACACTCTAGCTCTGACCTTGGATTTAACCTGAGCCTTGTTCCTGCTCAGTTACCAGCAGAGACTCCTGCCACAGGATTTCTGCGAGGTGTAGATGAGCCCATGTCCTGAAGCTCACAACACAGAGCTTGGGGTACATCAAGTGCTCAGAACCTCAGGGGCCCTCTTTCCCCTCCCCTTCTTTGTGCTTAACTTGGGACAGCTGCCTTGAAAGCCGGCTGGAACCAGTTCGGCCAGAGTTCCTTTGACCCATTTGACGACTTTAGTAGTTTTGCCCTTGTTAAAGAGCTTGCATCTTCAGAAAGTGACTCCCAGGTACTTGTAAAACCTGCTGTCAGTGAGGTCTGATGAGGGCTGATTGGATTGGGGCTCTATGTGGGTTTTTCTCCTGTGTGCTTCACCATGTAGTGGCTGAATGTAGAAACTCCAAGGAACCTGCACTCTGCCCAGTAACCACCGCTCCCTCCCCTGCCAACTGATCTGGGTTAGCCTTTGCAGTGTAGAGTCTTGTGCAGGTGCTGGGCAGGGCATTCTCTTCCAGTTCTGAAACAGTTCCCACGAACAATTTGTCCCTGCAATTTAAAAGCAAGTTGCAGGATAGTATAGCACTAGTCCTTTTAAACAATGACAAGGATACTTCTTTATACTACCAGAACATAATATTCCAGATTTCTGACCTAGTGTGACCTTGGGTACTTAAAAAGTGAGTCTTCAGGCAAACACTCTATACTGACTCCATTACCGAAATGGAATGGAAATACAGAACCTATTTACTCATAAGTTTTCTAAGACAATAAATAGTTCTGTAATAGGAAAACTGGTGTGCCCTAAAACTAAGTGATGTGTTTACTTCAAGTTCTGAGAACGGAAGATCTCAGGACTTTAAAGAATTGCTCAGAGAAACAACTATCCAACTGATGGAAAGATCACCTGGCTAAAAGCCCCCATCCCAACCCCCATCTGACACAGACAATAGAGCAAACATTAAATCCAAGGATATTAATCCTATTCAGAACATAGGGGTTTACTCAAAGAAAATCCAGTCCTAAAGGGAGAAATAGAGGAAGATGTGAATCAGTTTGAAACACAGAATAAAGATCAGTTTCTTCAGGTTAATATGAAGGTAAAATGAAATGCCAAGAAATCGCTGAAGAATACCTGCTGTTATTTGCAGATACATAGTGAAATTAACCTGAAAGAACAAGCAGGGAAGGATATCAAAGATCTCCCCCACCACCACCACCACAAATTCAAGATGAAGCAAATATGGCAGGATGTTATCCCTTGTTAAATCGGATGGTGGGTCCTTAGGTATCAAACATCTTCTCTGTATTTGAAAATTTTCATCATTTAGAAGTCACGATGGGTCATTCACCTTTTCAAGAGCTATGCTTTGACTTGGATATCTCATTTGGAAGTAACAAAAAATAGTTATTTTTTAACGTTGATTTTTAAAAACTTTTAAAATAGCTATTTTTAATAGAAAATTGAAAAAAACTGTAAAATAAGGGGCTGTCTATGCTTTGTATGACATACCCACATGATGGCACAATATATTGTTTTAAAATAGCTCCAGTTCAGGACTCCCCTGGTGGCACAGTGGATAAGACTCCACGCTCCTGATGCAGGGGGCCTGGGTTCGATCCCTGGTCAGGGAACTAGATCCCACGTGCGTGCCGCAACTAAGGAGCCTGCCTTCCGCAGCTAAGACCTGGTGCAACCAAATAAAACAAATATTAAAAAATAAATACAATAGCTCTAATTCAATCAATGGAATACTGTTAACGTGGAAATAGCAGAATATACCTGCAGTGATTAGAACTATACAAAATACAGGGAATTCCCTGGCGGCGCAGTGGTTAAGAATCCGCCTGCCAATGCAGCGGACACGGGTTTGAGCCTTGGTCCAGGAAGATCCCACGTGCCACGGAGCAACAAAGCCCCTGTGCCACAACTACTGAGCCCGTGCTCTAGAGCCCACGAGCCACAACTAATGAGCCCGTGTGCCGCAACTACTGAAGGCGGTGTGCGTAGAGCCAGTGCTGTGCCACAAGAGAAGCCACTGCAATGAGAAGCCCATGCAGCACAACGAAGAGTAGCCCCTGCTCGCCACAATTAGAGAAAGCTCGCACACAGCAACGAGGACCCAACACAGCCAAAAATAAATTAATTTAAAAAAATACATTTACCTTAAAAAATTTTGTTTACTCTTTTTTTTTAATTAATTAATTTATTTTTGGCTGGATTGAAGACCCCAATGGCTGAAGACGAGAGGAAGACAGCCCTGGAAATGGTCCAGGCAGCTGGGACAGATAGACACTGTGTGACATTTGTATTGCACGAGGAGGACCATATCCTGGGAAATTCTCTTCGTTACATGATCATGAAGAACCCGGAATTGGAATTTTGTGGTTACACTACAACCCATCCTTCAGAGAGCAAAATTAACTTGCACATACAGACTCGAGGTGCCCTTCCAGCTGTTGAGCCCTTTCAGAGAGGCCTGACTGAGCTCATGAATAGACATCTGCCAACATGTGCTTGACATGTTTGAAGCCAGCATAAAGGAATATAAGGATCAAAAAGCCAGCAGAAATGAAGCCACATTCTAGTCCCTTATGCACTATGCAGGGAGGACTGACCTCTAGGATATTCTATTCATGTTCTTGCAAAACCCAGAAGTAAACATTTGTGGTTACAACATGACCTGTCCTCCAGAAAGGCTTCCTTCTAGCTCTTAACCCACTTCTGCTGTTGGAGTCCCCGTAAGAAACTGTATTCTTCTAATAAATTCCCTCTTTTATTTAAACTGGAAAAAAAAAAAAAGAATGTATGTGATCACAGGCACAACATTCTAACTTCTGAATCACCCTTTTTCACCTTAATTGCTACTCTTCCTCCAGATCTCATTTTAATATCTTCTTCAGGGAAGTCTTCCCTGACCTCTCTGATTAAGTCACTTCTGGCCACACCAAGTGCCCAATAAATATTTATTTTATGAATGATTGATTGATTCTCTTTTTCTATAAAAATCTCATAACTTCCTTGTTTACAATTCCCTGTATCATTTTCACAACCGTCAATACAGTTTCATTATTATTATTATTATTACTTTTTTAACATTATTATTTTTAACTCTGAAATTCTGCCCTTTAGAAGACCACTGAAGGTTCTTCAGACTTGGAAAATTTTGACATTTAATGTTTGTTTGTTCATTAATCAAGTATTTAATAAGTGCATTTAATGTGCTCTATTATGTGCATTGCAGTGAACAAGATGGACAAGGTTTCCAGGCTCAGGCAACTTAACACACTCAAGGTGGGAGGAGAGCGGTAACACACGTGATACAATGTCAGGGAGTGATTAAGAGCTGTGAAGGAAACTAAAGCTGGGCAAAGGAACGGGAACCGATGGGTGGGCTGTTTTAGACAAAGTGGCCAGGGAAGGCTCTTGAGGCAGTGACACTTGAGCTGAGGGCTGAATGAAGTGAGAGAGTGACAGGGAAAGAAATACCTGCAGGAGGAGCGTCCCTGGCAAAGGACACAGGGACTTTGAAAACCTTGGGGCGAGAATAAGCTTGATGTATTTCAGGGGGAAAAAGGTGGCAGGCAGTGGAGTGAAGGAGGGAGAAAGTAGTAACCCTAACCCGGGAAGGCAGATTGATCACGCATTTACAGACTTATGCTGTATAACTACCAAGGAAAAGCTGCTCTAGGGGTTTGGAGTGCAGCTTTGCAAGATCCTAAGCTGATGGGCCTGGTTTGACGGTTCAACAAGGTCACCCCAGCTGCTGTAGGGAGAATGCACCGTAGGTGGGGTGGCAGAGTGGGGGAGAGCAGTGGGGAGACCGGGTTAGGTACACGATGAAGGGGGCTCGGGCCAGGGTGGAGGGGAGGGAGTGGAGGGGCTGAGAAGTGGTCAGAACCTATGACCTGCTCGGGAGGAAGGAAGGCAGATCAGGCTATTCCCCACTCCCCAGCACAAAGCTGCCGTGTGGCTTCAGGCCCTGAACCAGGGAATGGTCCTAAAGAGGCACTCCTGACCCCAGGATCGGTCGGGGCTGGGGGCAACTTCGTCATAGGCTTGCAGCCCCACAGACCTGGGTATGAACTCCAGATCCGCCACTGACTGCTGGGTGTCTCAGGGCTAGCTAACCCTTCGGGTCAGGAAGACTCCTTATCTACAAAATTCACACCTGCGAAGACCCTACGAGGCCCACCTGCGTCTTCCGGGTCAGCTCATCTGCGCAGGCGCAGAGGCCCAGCGGCCGCTGCGTGGGGCTCAGTGCGCGTGCGCTGGTCTCGGCCTCTCACTCTTTCTCCCCCCTTCCCCCCCCCCGCACCCGCCCCAGCGTGCGCCTGCGCGGAGTCGCGGTTCGGCGGTAGAGGTCGGAGGGCTCGGGGCTCCGAGTGGCAGCGCGCTCGCGGCGAGCCAGCCCGAGCCCGGGCGGCGGGTTCTTCGCCATGCCGGGGATGGTGCTGTTCGGCCGGCGCTGGGCCATCGCCAGCGACGACTTGGTCTTCCCGGGGGTCTTCGAGCTGTTCGTGCGAGTGCTGTGGTGAGGGCGGGCTCTGCGGGCAGCGGGCGGCCGGGACGGAGGAGGGAGCGGGGCCGAGGCGGTCGAGGGCAGGGACGGTGTCGCCTGCCCTGCGTTCTTGTACCTGGTCCTCTCCACCGCCCGAGGAGGTGGGTGCCGCTGCTCTCCCCATTTCCAGACGGCATACGGCGGCCCAGAGCGGGGGCGCCGTGCCCGGCGTCATGGGGTGGGCCCGCCGGCGGGACGTCGGCGCTGCAGGGCACGGGCACTCCTCCGGGGCGTCGAGACCCGGGCCTGGGAGCCGCCGGGGCTGCGCTGCCGCCCAAAGCCGTGGCCTCGGGACCTCCTGCCTCGAGCCGGGAACAGCCATCAGCATCACTCCAGCGTTCTGCATGGAAACGCACTGCATCTTGTCTGCCAAACGCAGGAATGGCAACAATACCGTTCGTGCCGTTCCTGAGCCGGTTGTGGCTGAATCCCTCGACGAGCACACAGGACTGGCATTTTCTCTCTAGTCTTTCAAAATGTGGAATCCGTGGGAAGTGGAATTGGGTGCCTGAAAGTCAGTCCCAGAGGGTCTGAGTGAAGAGTAATATCATCGTTATTAAAAAGTAGATTCTTAAGGGGAGAGGAATTTAAAAACATGAAATTATGAGCTGCTTCTTAGCTGTTTCATAGTTTTTAGGGCCAGTCTTTCTGATATCATTTCCCGTTATTATTTCTAGACAAGGATGTAATATCACAAAACTGACAAAAGCATAAAAAGTTATCTAGTCCAGTTCCTCTTCTGGCCTTGAATCTCTAATACCGCGTTCTTGCGAAATGGTTCCCTGCCGGATTCTGAAATAACTCTAGTGAAGAACACTGTCACGTTGCATTGTTTGGTGCTGCCTTTCATTGTTCTGTCCTGAATTACAAAATATACTTATGAGTCTGCAATCCTTGTCCTTTCAAGTTGATCAGTGTTCACCACAGAACATCTTTCCATAGCTCGCTTCCCATCCCCTTGTTTTTGTACTACACCCAGCAGATTAGATGTGCGTTTGTCAGTTTCTTGTTAATCCACAGAAGTAAAAGTTCTCTTGCTGATGACTGAACAAGTATATACTTTGTTTACCAGGTGCATATCTTGGAGTCATGATGGGGCAGCTTTCCAGCAGTTCACATTATATTTGCTTGCTTATGGCTTTAAATGTATTACAACAGGCACAGAATAAAAACAATGATGTAAGCATAGAAAGTATAAAACTCATTAAAAATTAAAAAAAAGCCATACTCTTTAATTGACTTAGTAAATATTTTATTGAGGAAGATTCAGTTCCAAAGTGAACCTCGCCTTGTTTTGGAAAGTATTAACTCCATTTACTTCCTTCCATTGTGTTTTTCAAAGCTGCTCCTTGGATTCCATTTCTGACGCTACCTGTGTCTCGGCAGGTGGATCGGCATCCTGACGCTGTATCTCATGCACAGAGGGAAGCTGGACTGTCCTGGTGGCGTCCTGCTCAGCAGTTACCTGATCGTGCTCATCATTCTGCTGGCAGTTATCATATGCACCGTGTCAGCCATCGTGTGTGTCAGCATGAAAGGTAAACACTAGTCTCTTCCGTTTGACACCGCTTCTTCCTCTTCTTCTTTTTTTTTTTGCGGTACGCGGGCCTCTCAGTGTTGTGGCCTCTCCTGTTGCAGAGCACAGGCTCCGGACGCGCAGGCTCAGCAGCCATGGCTCACGGGCCCAGCCGCTCCGCGGCATGTGGGATCTTCCCGGACCGGGGCACGAACCCACGTCCCCTGCATCGGCAGGCGGACTCTCAACCACTGCGCCACCAGGGAAGCCCTCATTGTGGTTTTGATGTTCATTTTCTTGATGACAAATGATATTGAGCATCTTTTCATATGCTCAGTGGCCATTTTTATATTATTTTTAAAGAAATGTCTGTTAAGATTCTTTGCCCAATTTTAAATTGGGTTCTTTGTCCTGTATTAATGAGTTGTAAGAGTTATATCTCTTCTTGATAGTTTTTTTCTATATGTTACCATTTTCTGCAGACAGTCGTTTAGCTGAGAATGTCTGAAAACGTTGGAAACCTTCCCTGTCGATTACTGTGGTTTGTAGGATGAGCTGAGCACTCTTGTGGCTGATAAAGAAATGCATCAGTAAATGAAAACTCATCCGTCAAAGGCAGGGCTGCATGGCGTGCTACCATCCAACGTGTTCTATCACTGCTTGAATCGGGATGTAGGAGGGAGGCTTACAGATTGTAGATGATAAAGCTGGGAGGGAGTAACTAACTGATACCCTGGGCGATGGAATCAAGATCTCGATAGGGTGGAACGATAGACTGAAACTTAATAGATGGTAGTTCGTGGGGAGAAATACAGGGAGAAATGTTAGTGGCAGAGTGTTTCATGAGAAAAAGCCCTTAGGGTTTGGATGACCAAGAAGCATGGCGCATGCCCATGCACTGCAGTAACGTAGGAAAGAGAGCTCTGAATATTTTAGTTTACCTCTGAAAACGTGAATGCATGGGGTCTGGATCAAAGACGGTCCCAGTTCTTTGGTCTCTGTCGGACCCCAAGTCTGGATGGTCGTTGGTACTGATGCTGAAGGAAAGGAAGGAGCTGAAACGTGTACGATGAGGATTTAGCACTGTGAGGTTCGCAGTGAGCTCAGATTTTCTGAAAGATGGTGTCATTTCAGGTACAGGGTATCTAATTTAGTTTCCCGATCTGCTCACAGCACATTCTGTTTAGCACGCCGGGTTTACAACTGTAATAGTGGGTTAAGTGCAAGCCTTTTTCTCCTTAAATGTTTTTCTTCGGATACTTTGGGTGGTGTCAGGGCACAGTCACACCCCTGCGGTGGATGGATGGCCGCATGCCTCAGGCTTCTCCTCGCAGGCACCGTCACACGTCAGAGTTCGGCAAACATCTGTCGGTTGTGTGGGGTGTTCTGGGTGGGTTGCTTATGCAGCAGCCTCCTCCAGACAGGACTTCCCCCCACCCCTCACAGAAACCGGCCCTGTGCCTGGTGCAGGATGGGTGGTTGGTTCAGGACTGGACATGTGCCCTGATTCGGGCCAGTGAAATTCAGGGAGTTTCCTGGGAAGTTCCAGGGAAGTCCTTCCCTGCTCCTCTGGGAAAGATCCAGAAGGAGCATATGGTTTTCCTTCTGGATGGCACTGTGCATGAGTGAGCTGCTGAATTCCTGCTGAGTCTCCTCCACTCACAGCCCAGGAGGAGCTGAATACAGAGGAGGGCAGGGCTGAGAAGCAGAGGACACCCTGGTGCCAGTCCTGGCCCTGCATTTCCAGCCCCTTGAGTCAAGACAGGTCCTGCTTGTTTTTATTTTTTTTAATTTATTTATTTTATTTACTTATTTTTGGCTGTGTTGGGTCTTCATTGCTGTGTGCGGACTTTCTCTAGTTGTGGCGAGCGGGGGCTACTCTTGGCTTCTCATTGCGGTGGCTTCTCGTTGCGGAGCACAGGCTCTAGACACATGGGCTTCAGTAGTTGTGGCACGTGGGCTCAGTAGTTGTGACTTGTGGGCTCTGGAGCGCAGGCTCAGTAGTTGTGGCGCACGGGCTTAGTTGCTCCACAGCATGTGGGATCTTCCTGGACCAGGGATCGAACCCGTGTCCCCTGCATTGGCAGGCAGATTCTTAACCACTGCACCACCAGGGAAGCACCCTGTTTGTTTTTAAACCAGTTTGAGTTTCTGATACTTGTAGCTAAAGATACCACAACTGAACTGAAGACAGTACTTTATAAAAACATGTTAGTTTAATTGCCAATTTGTTACAAATCAATAACATATGCTTTATTTTAAATATTATGTAAATTTCAGTGACGAATACCATAAAGTTAAAAAAAAAGAGAGATGATGGTTAGGGTCAAATAAGAAGAGGAATAACCATCAAGCCGACAGTAGATGATGACTGAAGATTATCAGTGAAGTAATACATTTGGATGAAGTCAGAATTTCTCTTAACAACCCAGGGGTATAATTTCAAAGCAGTACTGGGGATACAGCTCATTACCTTAGTAGAAGCCATAAGGTTGTTTTCATTTTCTTCTGATGAAAATTAACCTCTACTACTAAAATAAATAATAGAATCTATAATAAATGTCAGAATTGGCATATTGGTGGATTTAATCCACATTTTAGCGGTAATTGGTCATTGCTTAACAGTGTCACACTTGTGCATCAATTCAGGTTTGAAATGAAACTGCTGTTACAACCAGCCTTTGCTGTAGCATGCGTACCACTGAACCTGTTTGAAATAAAGTTTTTCTCTTACTTTTTCAAAGAAAAAAAAAGACAAATGGGAAAAAATATTGTAATAGATGAGACATAGAGCCAATCTCCTTAATATAGAAGGGCTCTACGATAAATAAGAAAAAGACCAATAGTCAGCGCAAAAATGGGCAAATATGGTGAACAATAAAATAAGTAAAAGAGATTTTTACATATATAAAAAAACATTCAGCCTCAATCACAGTAAGGAAAATTCATCAAGATGATACACTGGGTTGGTGAATCTGTGCAGTTGTGAGACTGTTGCTTCTGGGTCTTTCCTGGAGCAGGGAACGCCTTCCCCAGAACCTCCCTTCTGCTCAGGCAGCTCATTTTGTTGGTGGGCATGTAGATTTGTTGAATCTCTTGGAAGCCTAATTTGGCTGTGTGTGTTGTGTACATGTGGGTATCAGTCGGTTTCTTCCCTATATATTTGCATGTGTGCAAAATACTTGAAGTTTGCCACAGTGTTGCCCGTAGGCATGAAAGATTGGAAGAAACTCGGTGCCTGTCAATAGGCCGCCGGTTTAAGTGTCGCTCGTTCATATGACGGTCTCCTGTGCACCTGTTAAAAAGAATGTGAAATGCTTTGTGAATGGACAAGGGGTGATTTCCAATATGCTAAGGTACAGGACACTGTATGTAGTTTGTTACTTTCTTGTAAAGGGATAAACTTACCTGTTTGGTTTATGTGTGGACTCTCTGGGGTGGGTACATGAGTGACTAGTTTACCTTGAGGGAAGGTGACTGAGGGCTGGGATTCAGTGGTGGGAGGGAGGCTTAACATTTACTTTATACCCACTTGAGCGCTTTGAACTTTTCGCCCTTTACCTGCATTGCCTGCACAGAATCAGAGTTTTTTACAAGTTATAAACTTTAGGTGTATCTTTGAATAACCGTGAACCCCTTGGTAAACCTTATTACTGATACATGGATAACTCCCATCACCCCTTCTGTTTCGTAAGTCATCTCAATAGTTAATCTGTCATTTGAACGGAAAGGCCCTGTTTCTGAAGCTTTTGGTTGATACACCTCTAAACGAAACAGCGCACATTGTAAGGGAGCATTTGGAACAAAGAGAATTCAGTCATCTTTATCCAGAAAACCGACGCTTGTGTAGTTACCTCTTTCTTGGTCTTCACTGTAGAATCTTGATATCGTGGTAGTTTCTAGTTTTGATTTGAGAACCTCCCTGATGAAATCCTACTGTTTTGACCATGTGGGAGGTTTAATTAGGGAAGATCCACCCTCGCGACTATGGTGTTTTGAGAGAACGCCCTCAACTTCCAAGGTCTGCCCTTCGCTGTGTTTGGTTTGTATTCTGGGACATCTTGCTTTGCCTTGGCGTTTGTGTCTCAAGAGCTCCTCTCGTGCCGGAGAAAATCACTGCAGTGGCTAGAGGTGTCAAGTCCCGAGATTCTGTGACACAGGCCTTCCTTGTGTGGCTCTCATGTCATTGGCTCAGCCATGTGAAGGGCAACAGGGTTCCTTCCTGAGACGGTGTCAGGGATATTACGATCGGGGACGTAGCCACGCTCATTCATTCTGGGGCATCAGCCTTGTGATGCTCGCTGCAGCACCAGATCCACACCGGCAGCTCTTTACGTCGAGGAGAAAATAAAGGTCTGAGTAAAATAAAAATGCTTTTCTAGGCAAAGCATAAACATAAAAAGGCTTTTTCAGTCTCTCACGTCTTCTCTGGACCCTTCACCAGAACTCCGTCTCCTGCTTCCTTACCTCTGAGTTTGCTTCATCCGGGCAGTGTCCCGGGCTGGAGCCTCTCTGCTCCAGCAGCCTCTTCTTTGGAATCCTAGCCCTCCAGGAGGTAGGATGTGAGCAGGTGCTGTTTCCTGTTTCTCTCTGCTGGTTGACTATTGCTGTATAATAATACACTCCAGATACACGACTGATTTTTACATACCTGCACTATTTGTCCCTCAGGGAGAGAGAGGGCGTGCTGTTTCAGTTATCTTAGAACATTGTGTCTTTGTGCCAAAAACAAGGCCGGATAGTGTCTAATATTTTAAAATATGACTCTGAGTAATTCATTCTAATGGAAGGTAGCTTTTGGAATTTAAAAGCTATTTCCTTATCCAATTATTTTTTTAGATCTTAGATTTTTTTTCAGTCACTGTTTTTGTTTTAATCATGTGGCATTTTTATGTTGCTTAAATTGGTGTTTATCACAACTTTTTCCCAAAGGGAGAGAGTTGATTTACACCAAGAATTAAAGTACACAGGCCTCTAATGATACTTGGATTTGTTTTACAAACAGTTTTATTTATTTATTTATTTTTATAAATTTATTTGTTTCTTTTTGTTTTTGACTGCGTTGTGTCTTCGTTGCTGCGCGCGGACTTTCTCTAGTTGCGGCAAGTGGGGGTTACTCTTCATTGCGGTGCTCAGGCTTCTCATTGTCGTGGCTTCTCTTGTTGCAGAGCACGGGCTCTAGGTGCTCGGGCTTCGGTAGTTGTGGCACGTGGGCTCAGTAGTTGTGGCGCACGGGCTTAGTTGCTCCGCGGCATGTGGGATCTTCCCGGGCCAGGGCTCAAACCCGTGTGCCCTGTATTGGCAGGCGGATTCTTAACCACTGCGCCACTAGGGAAGCCCCAAACTCAGTTTTAAATGTTGTGTCTAAGTGGTGGGCTTCTGCAAGTGGTCTCACACATCAGAATTGTTCGCTTCCCAAAAGTGAGGACCACGGAGCATTGGTGAGGCAGAGAGCCTGCAGCATGCGAATCTGGATTATGTTTTAGAAAGTGGTTACTAAGCCCTCTGAGCCTCAGCTTCCTCATTTGTAAAATGGGATGATGACTATGTCACAGTCATTGGGAGGATTAAAGAATAACGGGCCCGTGCTGTTTCAGGTGGTGCCTGGATTTTCCTGGCTGTGAGAACCCCGGTGACTGTATACCTCTGTTTGCTGGTGACAGTTCTGTTTTATGTTGGTTGTCCCAGCATTATTAATAGAGCCTCCCTTTGCTCTCAAAAGTATCCCAATTTGGACAGTGATTTTATTGTCACTCTAGTTAGAACCCAGAAGTGTTTTTAAACACTGGTAAGTCTAAGAAATGAATCTGAGGCTTTTTGTCATGTTTCCCATCCCTCACTTTGTCTCTTGCTCTCAAACTTAGGCATTGTTGCCCAAGTACAGGCAGAAAAGTCAGGTGGTGGGTGAGCCTATGGGACACATATGTGTGCTGTGATAGCTGTTTATTTGTGGAAGGGCAACTACTCATCTCTGAAGGGGCAAGTGACCAGTTTGAACATTTTCTGTGTTTCAGGGACCATTTGTAATCCTGGACCACGGAAATCCATGTCTAAGCTGCTCTACGTGCGCCTGGCACTCTTTCTGCCAGAGATGGTCTGGGCGTCCCTGGGGGCCGCCTGGATAGAGGACGGTGTTCAGTGTGACAGGACGGTGGGGAATGGCATCATTGCGACTGTCGCGGTCAGGTGAGGTCTCCAGTCTTCTGCAATTTCTTGTCCAAAATGTACTCGAGATGGAGGTAATCAAATACCTTGTGAATAACTGAGGTGGCCCAGTGTCATGCAGGCTTCCTAATATAGTTAGAAAGGGATCTTCTTTTTTTTTTTTTTTTTTTTTGTGGTACGTGGGCCTCTCACTGTTGTGGCCTCTCCCGTTGCGGAGCACAGGCTCCAGACGCGCAGGCTCAGCAGCCATGGCCCGCGGGACCAGCTGCTCCGCGGCATGTGGGATCCTCCCGGACCGGGGCACGAGCCCACGTCCCCTGCATCGGCAGGCGGACTCTCACCCACTGCGCCACCAGGGAAGCCCAGAAAGGGATCTTTCTGAGTAAATCATAAAAATGCAGAGGCACTTGTTCATACACGAGGAATAGTTCATCTCCCATTATGCATTTATTGATGTAGTTTCCTTTCTTACCGGTTCTCATTTTTCTGCATTCCCTCCCTTCCCTTACAAGAAGGAAGAGACCTGAAGACCAAAATAGGGCAAAAACTAAAAGTAGGACGTGAAGAAATATATAGTCTCTGGAATTGCTGCAGGAAATAATCCGCTAGAATAAGGTTTATGCCCTTTCCAGACTAAAAATCTTACAGATGATCTAGTCACATCCCCTCATGCTGTAAATAAGGGGATGGAGACTCCCGCTGCCCTGCTGAGCCTCTCGGGAGAGGCCGTGGCGGCCCTTCCTGGGCCACCTTCCAGGAGCACACGTGCTCATGGACCCAGGGCGCCTTGCGCATGGTGGACAACCTAGAAGTATTGAAACATATGAATGAAAGACCTGTGAGGGTATCCCGTGGCACAGGAAGCCTCCTTTGGTTTTACTGAGGGGAACCCCGAGACCCTGGGGAGTAGGCCTAGGTCAAGGTCAGGGACTTCCATGCCCAGGCCGAGGCTCTGCCCACCAGACACTTCCCCTTTTCCTTTTGTGGCTTTTGGGGCTCTGATCTTTGTCGGGCCTGGGTTGGCCATGGGCTCATAAGGAACTTTCTAGAAGAAACAAGTTGCCCGCCTCCGCCAGGTTCTGGGAGACCCCCATCTTCCTTAGTAACAAGAGCCTCAAGTTGTACAGATGCAGAGAGTGACCCCATGGGTCACTTCAGGACTGCAGCCCCCAAGCCTTTTCCTCTCTCTCTGTGTCGCAGCTGGATCATCATCGCCTCCACCGTGGTCACCATTGTCATCGTCTTTGACCCGCTGGGGGGGAAGATGGCTCCGTATCCCCCTGCGGGCCCCCATCACCTGGATAGCCATGAGTCCAGCCAGTTACTTAATGGCCTCAAGACGGCAGCTACAAGCGTGTGGGAAACGAGAGTCAAGTTCCTGTGCTGCTGCGTCGGCAAAGACGACCGTACTCGAGTTGCTTTTTCGAGTACGGCAGAGCTTTTCTCAACCTACTTTTCAGTAAGCCGACGGGGTCTGCTCTGGTCTCTCTCTTCTATCTAAGTAAACGCTTCTTTTGAGAAGACGCGCTCTCTGCATTGTGAACCCTGTTGTCTCCCTGTTGACATAAAACACCTCCTGAGAGTGAGTCCCCCATGGGTGCGGCGGGTGGAGGTGTGCCCTGGGGTGAGTGCCCAAGAGCTCCCGGGAGCAGGGACCCAGGGCCCTGTGCTCACAGACCCTACGCCCTGGTCGGCGCATCCTTGTGTTGACGCCCATCTGTTACACAGTTAAGATTTTGAATTAGTTCTTAAGGAACTAAGTAGTGGAACCTGTACATTTTGAGAATCCTTTGCCAGTCGTTTCCTACATTCTTTGTCCAGCTGGTTCTCAGCAGATGCCAGGTCCCGGCAGTGTCGTGCCTTCGAGGTAGTATCGGACCCTGGTTTCTTACAACTTTATGGCATGATGGAAATGATAGATGATTCTCTTTTTAAAGACAGTTGCAATGCAGAAGGGTGTCATGGTTCTAGAGCAGTTTCTTCAGTGATTTGGAAACATTTGTTTTTCTTTCACATCCAATTTCTCTTATAATGATCTCTGATAAACTCCTCTTATGTTCAGTACTGCAGCCAAGTGAGAGAGAGGAGTTCTCTTGACGTTGTGCCCGCCCGCCAGTCTTTTTCTCACCTCTCTGTGGTGTCCAGGCCTGCCCTGTTCAAGGCTGACTCCGTAACCAGCAGCTCCACATAGGGATGAGAGAAGTGTGTCCCCCTAAATAATTTCAAAGGAGCACTTCAACCCGGTCTTAAGATTGTTGAAAGAAGGAGGAAGAGAACCTGGCTATTCTTAGAGGACGTCTTAACCTGCATCGTGGGCAGAACCGATGGCTCAAGTGGCCGAGTGGCCAGTACCTGGTTTCTTGTGGACTCCCGTCTGCTCTGTGTCCCCCGTGAAGGAGAGGGTCGGATCAGGCTCTGGACACTCACTCGGTTGCTGTCCTAGTTTGAGGGTCTTTTTGAGGCTCGTTCTGCCCAGTGAGTATAAGTCCAGTCTCATACATCTCTGCCGTGGACTCTTTCAACAAAACCTTCTCAGTAAGAGTGTAAACCTGGGCCAAAATCAGACGTTACTCCAAAGAGGGCGAATTTACCCATTTACTCACCCACTTCACAGGCGATGTGAAGTAGATTAAAAATAGCCGACTCCCTTGACGTGGAACCTGAGAACAGAGATCAGTACAATATTTATGTTCTCGAGCAGGTTTGTGTGAGGGCAGGATAGTGAGAGACACGAAGCTCACATGCAGGAGTCCTAAAAGGGAAATAGTTTTCAAAACACCTTTTCACACGTAACTGTATGTGTATGTGCACGTGTGTGCATGTGAACTGCGTAAAACTGGGCCCTTGGGAGCTCGTGGGCCATTCCCACTGGGTTTATGATAAGCCGCTATGGTTTCCCACCCAGGACACGGACCTGGTGCCCAGCGACATTGCAGCAGGGCTCGCTCTCCTCCACCAGCAACAGGACAGCATCAGGAACAACCAGGAGCCTGACGAGGTGGTCAGCCATTCCCCAGGGCCCTCCCAGGTAAGCCCACGTCTCCGTTGAGCTGTACCGTTTTGACATTTACACCTACTTGTAAATTAAAAAAAAAAAGCAACCGTTTCAGGAGCAGTTGATTGGAATCTGATTTGTGGCTTTTGCTAGTTGTGGTTTGTCACCTGTCCGGTGAGGCATCTCCTCATCACCTGGAGTTCAGGTAGAGGGAGCCCACTCCTGGCCCGTTCACCACCCATTGTATTTTTTTTTTTTTTTTTTTTCCTGAGATTCTCTTTTAGGAAATTGGCTGTTGTCTGCATATCGAAAATTCCCTCTGGGGTGGGACCTGGTTCTCCCAGAGTGTGTTTGCTCTCTTCTCTGGGCCTGGGGAACAGAGACAGTTCAGCTTTGCTTGATGATTGCTTTCCCGCCACAGACTTCTGTGCTTTTGAAAGAGAAAATTGCATACGGATTGTGTGTCTTATCTCTGCACCTAGTTCCCAGAAGCCCATTTGTTGCGGGGGCGTCTGCACCTGCATCCAGCAGGAAGTCCTGGGCTTATTTCACCAGGAGTCAGAAAAGTCATTAGGGATTTTTGCTGCTAACTTCTGCATTCTCCTAAAATGAGGGGTTCATCTGTCTGTATTTAAGGACCAGTTTTCCCAGTGGAAGTCCTCCGAGAGGTCTATTCCCTGAAGAAAGAAAGGGAAGAATCAGGAATTTGAGTTCAGGTTTAAGATCATAGTGTGTTCTACTGTTTATCAAATAGATAATCCACAAGGACCTACTTTGTAGCAAAGGGAACTCAACGTCTTGTAATAACCTATATGGGAAAAGAATCTGAAAAGGAATAGGTATAGGTATATGTATAACTGAATCACTTTGCTGTACACCTGAAACTAACACAACATGGTAAACCAACTATACTCCAATATAAAATGAAAATCAGATTAAAAAAAGGCAGATCATAGTGTGTTGGTCCTCTCCTTGATGGGCTCCCCTACACAAAACGCTTTTCTTCTTCTCTTCCAGGAAGCTGATTTGGACGCAGAATTAGAAAACTGCCGTCACTATATGCAATTTGCCGCAGCTGCCTATGGGTGGCCTCTCTACATCTACAGAAACCCTTTCACAGGGCTGTGCAGGATCGGTGGCGACTGGTAGGTCGGCACCGTCTGAGGCCTCCATCCTCATTCCGCCCCGGATGTTGCTTGCTATGGTGTCCGTACTTTATTTTCTAAAAATAATCCCATTTCCCTGTTTAAAAAAAAACTTCCTATTTTGAAATATTTCCAAAACCGCAGGAGCAGTGCTAAGAACGCCCACGACCAGTGGTGACTCAGTTTTGTCACATGGGCTGTATCACTCTCTCCATAAATACGTGTTTTTCCCCCCAGAACCGCTGGAGATTCAGTCGCGGGCTGAATCATGCCCCTTTCCCTCGAATTACTTCAGCTTGTATTTCTTAAGAACGAGGTCTTTCTTTGCCATAAATTACAGTACAGTTAGAAAATTCAGGAAGTTTATCATTAATCATTAGCTATTCCAATTTTTCCCGTTGTTCCAGTAATACCCCTCGTAGCACATTTTCTTCCAGTCCAGGAGCGTGGATTGCATTTAGCTGTCATGTCTCCTGAGTCTCCTCCAGTTTGGAACAGTTCCTCAGTCTTTTTTTTTTTTTTTTTTTTTTAAGCCTTTCACAATATCGACATTTTGAAAAGGACAGTCTGGGTACTTTGTAGGCTGGCCCTCACTTTGCATTCGTCTGGTGACTTCTTCACGATTAGGTTCAAGTTACACATCTTTGGCAGGAATGCTCCACGCGGAGCGTGCGTGCTTCTTAGCACATCATATCAGGAGATACCTGATGCCGGCTTGTCCCATTCCTGGTGATTTTAGGGTCTCTCCCATCCTTGTTGGTTTATTTTTTGAGTATGTAAAGCATTAATAAATAAGTCAGACTGTAGTAAGACGTGTACACAGAAGTGTCATTTAAAGGCCACTATAGGTTCGCCAGACTGAGCTGTGCAGGCTTGCAGTGGGTGCCCTCAGGTTTGCTAGGAAACGGGACGGCAGGGTGGGGTCTTCCTCGGTACGTGGCTCTGGTTGGCGCAGTAACGCCTCTGCCCCCGTTTTAGTTGCAGAAGCCGGACAACCGATTATGACTTGGTTGGAGGTGATCAGCTCAACTGTCACTTTGGCTCCATCCTGCAGACGACGGGGCTGCAGTACCGGGATTTCATTCACGTCAGCTTTCACGACAAGGTAGAGTGAGCAGTGCCTCCTAACTTCTTCTGGGTCTTGGAGTCTTCTGAGATTCTGGTGGACGTTATAAACTATTCCCCCGGAAAAATGTGCCGAGACACAGACACATACTCACCCCAAGTCTAGCGCACTATCTTCGAGGTTCACAAACGCTCTTGAAGCCCCCACAGGTTTAACGTAAGATGGGGCAGAAGGTCTTCATCAGAGAGACTGTGCTGTGTTTCACCTGAGCCCATTTTTAGTGAAGAACAATGAGTTGCACTTGGCATTAATCCCACACAGGTCACCGGGGTTGATCAATCCTAGTCTCTGGGTCTGAGCTCCATCCTATGAGTGCAGTGCAGTGCAGTGGGTCTCACACTTGGGAGGGTCCCGGAATCGCAGGGCTGGCTAGTGAACCTGCGGAAGCCAGTCTGTCTGGCGTCAGGGACCCGTCCTGCATTGCTTCGTGGCTCCCCACACGGTCCTCACAGGCACCGGAAGCCCAGAACCTGCAGCCAAGCGCAGCGGCTCTCACGTCTGCTGTCTACTGGGATCTCCTGGGGAGCTTTTAAAACTCAGAAGCCCAGGCCAGACCCCACATGAATGAAGTCAGAATCTGTGGCGATGGGACCCCAGCTCAGGAGCCCCCCACGGTTCCAGCACACAGACGATTCAGACAACCACTGGTGTCCTGTTCTTGACCCCCCTGGCTCCCAAACTGCTGCATTTTAGACTCACCTGGGAGCTGTAAAAGTCACACCCCACCCCACTGAGATCAGAACGTCCAGGATCTTGTTTTCATGTCCGCAGTGAATCTGGTACCTTCAAAGCGCAGGAGCCCGTGAGCCCTGTGCTGCTCTGTCACTGCGTGGTGATGACAGAAAGCGGATGGGGTTTAAAGGAGGTGATTTTCCACAGAAGGCTCGTGACCGCTCTGTGGGCTCTTTCAAGGAGCCCCCCACAAGGTCATCAGTAGAAGTCCCTCTCCTGCGGAAACCAGGGCGGTAAAGTCGGCAGTCTGTCCTCTCCTGCTGGCTCCACATGCACGACCGTTCACCACGCACAGGTGGCCGTCCCCGTGGTGTCACACCAGCTGGAGGACCGCACACCGTGTTGTCCTCCTTAAAGATGAGGAAATGGGGTGGAAGAGAACTTCAGACATTTGCTTGGGGTCCCACGGCAGGAATGGGGTGGAGCAGAGTTCCTGAGGCAGGTCTGCCTAACCCAGACCCTCTCGCTGCTCCTTCAGGAGCCTCTGCAGATGCGAAGGCAGGAGCCTAGGGTTACCGCTGGACCCGCGGTCGGTGTTGATGCAAGTGGGTGCTTACGGCGCCCAGAGCCTGTCACCCGCTGCTTGCACTGACCCAGAGTGGAGGCTCTGGTCTTGCCCGCTGAGATGGCTCTACCCCCTGCCCCCGAGGGTAAAAGGGGCTTGGCTTTAGAGAGCCTTTCATCACTGAGAATCAGAAGTCACACTGTCTACTGAGAACGAGCAGAGGTGGGGATCAGTGCACCCCTCCGCGCTGTGCTCGGAAGCGCGTGTGTTACACGCTGTGGGCTGGCCCAGCCGTGTCCGCAGACACCTGTGTTAATGCTCATTCCTCTCTCCCAGGTGTACGAGCTCCCCTTCTTAGTGGCCCTGGACCACAGGAAGGAGTCGGTGGTGGTGGCTGTGAGGGGAACCATGTCTCTCCAGGTACGGAGCCTGGTGCGCTGGCCCAGGGGGCTGGGGGCGGGCAGTCAGCAGCTCGGATGCCAGGAGACCCAGCTTTCCTGGAATTGAGGGGAAACCTTCGTAAGCGACAGCATCAGACACAGGGAAACACCGGGCGTGGAAAACAGGGAGGCGAGTCCAGGGCTGTCAAATATTCCCTTTGAAAAAGCAGATAAAGCCATTTCCTTTTAACCAAGAAATACTGGAAACTTAGACGCTGGCTGGGCTGGGCTCCCCTACTCCCAGGCGGGTGCCCACTGGATTCCCTGGGCCCCCAACCCGGGTGACCCTCCCCTTGAATTTTCTGCACCCAAAGCCAGAAAGAACAGTAGGTTAAGTCATGCAGTCCAAAGTCAGCCCACTCTTAGGTACCCCCCCACCCCACCTCCCCAGTTCCCGTTGGGGGTCTCAGCCGGCCCGATGCGCCTGCCCCCGGCTCCCCTGGCCGCTGCTCCCCCGGTGCCGTGGGAGTGAGCACTGCCCAGCCCCACCCAGCGGCCCCCTCCCGTCCTGCTCGGTCTCTGCCCCACGAAGACACCTGGCGACACTCTTCTCTCCTGTGTTGTGCTTTTTGGTCTCTTCTTGGCCGTTCCTCAGTCTCATTTCCTAGTTCTCTCTTTTCTCCTGACCCAGGAAATGAAACGAGACTCCACCCTCTTCTGCTTCCCCCCCCGCCCCCCGCCAACCTTGCCCCTGCCTCGCCAGGAGCCATCTGGGTCTGCCCGGGCCCCCACTCCCGGGTCTCCTCTCCCGTCGGCACCGCCCACCCCAGTAACCATGCGGCGCCCCCTTGCCCACCAAGAAGCCGCAGAGCTGAAGTCGTCTCTGGCTCTATCCTCGCTTCCTGCCCAGTCTGTCGCGTGTGGTCCTGCCCGGCCCCTCTCTGGCCCGTCTCCTCCAGTCCCAGCACCGCAGCCCGGGTTCTGGTCCCAGGCCTCTCTTTCCTGGGCCAGCGACAGGTCCTCTACCTCGGTCCCTGTCTGTCGTCTCGCGTCTTCCCAGTCTGTCCTTTGTACTGTCCAGAGGACTCTTTCTAGAACATGGTCAGACCTGCCACTGCTCGCAAACCTCAGGCAGTTCCCGCTGCGTTTTATACACGGTTCCTTGTTCTTGTTGAGGCTCTTTCGGCACTGTGGCGCACAGTTCCCAGCCCTGGCAGCGCCAGAGCCACCTTTGGGGCCCCTTCTCCCGCAGGTGGGCCTCCCCGGGTCCCAGGGACACACCAGCCTCCCAGGCTCTGCCCGCGGCCCCTCGATGCCTCCAGAGTCAAGTGCCCGTGAGCCCAGCCCACTGCCCTCTTCCCGTGCCCAGATGCCTCTGCCCTGGGTCCTGCTGCTCCCCTGGGTGAGGATGCCGGCCTCTGTTCTCTCCTCTGCTTCCTGAAAACCAGCTTTTCCATCAGGCTCTGGCTCAGGCCACCTCCTCCAGGAAGCCCCCCGTGCCCTGCAGCACTCACCCCTCCTCTGCTCTGTGTGACGTGTCTCTTACCCTCCCTTAGGTTTCAACCAGCCGTTGACTGGGCCCATGGAGGACGGGAACCATGCTTTGCTCAACACCCTGGCCCAGGGCTCTGTGCTTCGTGGGTGCTTAGATGCTGTGTGCAGGGAGTGGGGGCAGAGGGTGCGTCTTAGACGTGTCCCCTCCCCAGTCTTCATGTCTGATTGCGCTTCCTGGCCACCTGGCATCTCTCCCGAGTTCAGGCACCTGGGGTCCAATTCTCAACAGCCTGACCCGGGGGACTGTCCCACGCAGCCACCCTCATCTAGCCCAGCCCAGCTGACGGCCTCTTCCCACGCACTGTTTCCAGGACATCCTTACGGACCTGTCAGCGGAGAGCGAGCCGGTCGACCTCGAGTGTGAGGTGCAGGACTGCTGGGCACACAAGGTAGGAGCCGAGGCCGTGTGGTCTGGAATGTTCTGTCAAGGGGAACCTCGAAGGCGCTGGAGTATTTTCAGTTTGGGGTCTCCCGCGTTAACGCTGTTCTGCGCCAGGTGCTGTCCAGCACAACTTCTCACCGCAGCCCTGAGAGGTTACTTTTGTGTTTTGTTGTTTTTTTTTTTTTTGCGGTACGCGGGCCTCTCACTGTTGTGGCCTCTCCCGTTGCGGAGCACAGGCTCCAGACACGCAGGCTCAGCGGCCATGGCTCACAGGCCCAGCCGCTCCGTGGCATGTGGGATCCTCCCGACCCGGGGCACGAACCCGTGTCCCCTGCATCGGCAGGCAGACTCTCAACCACTGCGCCACCAGGGAAGCCCTACTTTTGTTTTTAAGAGAAAGAAGGAGGTTCATAGCGATTGCGTCACTTGCCAGTAGCTACACAGTTACCGGAACAAGTGTCAGAGTCGGCATTTGAATGCTTTTCTTCCCGTGTAATTAAAGTAGTACTTTCTCATGGTGAAAAAAAGCTTTAGTGCAACACAGTGCAGGCAGACCCTCCCTGAGATGCAGACGCTCAGCACTTTTCTGCATGTCACTGCATTCTCTGCATATGTCACAACACCGAGTTCCTGTTTCAGTGTTACTGTGCTGGGAGGGGGCACGGGGTGCATAAGCTCTTCCCAAAGGGATGATGGGAGGAGCACGGCCTGCTCAGAGCAGAGTTATTTCCCTCCGCCAGCCTCTGGGAACCACCATGTTACTGTCTCTGAATTTGCTTATTTTACGTTCCTCATATAAGTGGAATTATACAGTATTTGTCCTTTCATTACTGGCATGCTTCACGGAGCACATGTCCTCAAGCATCATCCATGTTGTAGCGTGTGTCAGAATTTCCTTTGGCTGTTGTAAAATTGCCATGAGCATGGATGTGCAGATAACTGTTGGAGTCCCTGCTTTCAGTTCTTGGGGGGAATATACCCAGACATGGGATTGCTGGGTCTTACTGTTATTTCTCTGTTTAACTTTTTGAGGGACCAGCAAAGTGTTTTCCAACAGAGCTGCACCATTTTACATGCCCACCAGCAAAGAACGCGGGTTTCCATTTCTCTGCATCATCACTTTTCTTTCTTTCTTTCTTTTTTTTTTTTTTTTTGTGGGAGGGGGCGGGTACGCGGGCCTCTCACTGTTGCGGCCTCTCCCGTTGCGGAGCACAGGCTCCGGACACGCAGGCTCAGCGGCCATGGCTCACGGGCCCAGCCGCTCCGCGGCATGTGGGATCTTCCCGGACCGGGGCACAAACCCGCATCCCCTGCATCGGCAGGTGGACTCTCAACCACTGCACCACCAGGGAAGACCTCTTTTTTTTTTTCTGAACGTAGCCGTTCTAGTGGCTGTGAAGTGGGTATCTCACTGTGGTTTTGATTCGCATTTTCCTGATGACTAACGAGGTTGTAGAGCTGAGCATTTTAACATTTGAGGGAAAGTCTGGGATGATTCCTTCCCTAAAGGTTACAGCGGCTGCTTCTGGGGAGAAGGATGTCGGGGGCGGAGGGCAGTGGCCTTCCACTATTTTTATACACTATTTTTATACACTTCGTGTGGTTTTTAACCAAAACATGCATTACTTCTGTAGTAATAGTTTTTTAAATAGAATGCTTAATTTTTTAAAAATTCTGTTTATTTATTCTTGGTGCCTGGACAGGGACATGAACCCTGGGCCCTCAGATTAAAAGTCTGATGCTCTCCCAGCTGAGCTACCTAGGCTGGAATGCTTACTTTTTATAAAAGCACGTGTTATTGCCGGAGTGCGGTGCTGGTAATTGAACCCCAGTGTCCTGTCTGGACAACTTTTTTCCTTCCAGGTTTTTTTGTTGTTGTTGTTTTTGGGGGTTTTGTTTTTTTCTGTGCCTGGACACTTCAGGGAAGAGCCAGAGTGGAGGCTTTTGGCTTTTGTTCTGCCGCCACTTAGGAGCTTGACAGTCCTGGGAATGTGAACTTTTTTCCTTTATCCCTTAGCTGTCTTTTCATACCTCAATTCACCGACAAGTCCAGTTTAACTATTACTGGGTGTGCATAAAGAAAAACAAATAAGAAACTTAAAACTTATTATAGAGACGCATCAACTAGCCAAGCACAGAATACCCTCAGAGCCCTGTGGGCTCGGCTGTGGCTCTGGTCTTAGAAGAATTTGGGCCGCAGACCAAGGCTTTGTGCCTCCAAGCTGCGACCCGCAGGCCTGGCCGGCTCTCAGCGGAGGCCTCCTCCAGCACTGTTCCGTTCAGTGACACAGCTCTTGCCCTCCCCCCGGGAAGACAGCTGCTCAGGGCCTAAGGGCACGGTTCTCTGCTCTTGGCCTCGGTACCGAGTTTTGGCTCTGATGCTGTCCACGATGGTTGGAGTTCAAAGCTGTGCAGCTGAAAACGGTCTTGGCGTTTCACCTGAAACACTTGTGCCAGGGAGACTCACAGCCGGCCGAGTTGTGGTCCAGATGCCGAGTGGCTCTGGCTGCCCAGAACCAGACACGCGGGTAGGTGCCTAATAAATGTTGGCGGAAGTCGACAGCATCTTGTGGTAGGAGGGGGAGGAAAGGGAGATCTGGTGGTTTGTCCAGAAGTGCCGTCAGACTGTGCACAGCATGTTAACCCTTCAGACCTCCTGGTTTGTCATATTCGAGGCCAGGTTCCGCATTCTGCTCACAGGGTTATAGAGCTACTGAATCAGGAATTTGCAGCAGCTTCAGAGAGGAGCAAAACAGCCTCCCATCTTATGTGGAATTTCTCCCACTTCATCCTGTTGGAGGTTAGGCTGCCGGGGCCGGTGGCCAGGCCCGTCCTGTGTTGTCATGCAGGAAGCACTCCGAAAATGCTTTTGGTCGACAGGGTTGTCTCTCCTCGATGGGAACTACTTAATTTTCAAGAAGTCTGTTTCGTGAGATAGCTGTATTTGTTAGGAAGTTTTACATTCTGTTTTTTGAAATTAAACCAAAGCCTGACCTTCCTAGAACTCAACTTCCGATGGTTTTAGTTCTGCTTTTGCAGGAACAGGGGCTGCTTAGTCACTGTCACTGATTCAGAACTTTACATTTTAACATACTTGTAAAAGACCAGCCATTTATAATCTAAATGTGACGGACCATGGAGACTTGGCTAAAGTAGATTGTGGGACGTCCACGCAGCACGGTGCCTTGCAGCTGAAGAAGCCTTAGAAACGTCCACTGACGTGGAAAGATGTTCCTGACATCACCTATTCGCTCATGGAAATATTTTTTGAGCCCCTGCTTCTTGCCAAGCTCTGTGCCAGGTGCCAGGAATACAGCAGTGAGTGGTAGATGTGCCGGCTGATCCCAGGATGCCTTTCCTGTCTGGGGGGACAGCGTCACCGATAGGAGACCCCGTGTAGGCCTGCCCTGTCTGACAGTCACCAGCCACCTCTGTGTCTGCACTTTCAGGGGATTTCTCAAGCTGCCAGATACGTTTACCGACGACTCATCAACGACGGGATTTTGAGCCAGGCGTTCAGCATTGCACCTGTGAGATTTTAATTCTTCTTTTCTTTCGTTTTCTCTGCCATTAGCTATTTGTTTTCTTAACCTTTACTCATTCTGCATTTGCCCCCTAGGAATACCGGCTGGTCATCGTGGGGCACAGCCTGGGGGCAGGTGCTGCGGCCCTGTTGACCATCATGCTCAGAGGCCCATACCCACGAGTCAGGTGTTACGCCTTTTCCCCGCCCAGGGGGCTGCTGAGGTACTTCTTTGTTTTCTTTCCTGTAAGGAGGTGCTACTCACAAGTCATGTGGTCAGAACTGGTCTCTTATCTGCAAGTTAGTTAACAATTTCTCATCCTCAGGAGAAGTTTGTTTCAAAGCCCTGTTTGGTTGAAAAAAGACTGGATAGCTTTTCATAGGTCTCTCTAACCATAGCTTTGATTTGATTTGATTTTTTTAAACTGAGGTATAATTATATTAGTTTCAGATGTACAACGTAACGATTCGATATTTGTATATGCTGTGAAATGATCACAATAAGTCTAGTTAACAGAGTCACAGAATCGTTTTTCCTCGTGAGAACTTTTAAGATTTACTTTCCTAGCAGCTTTCACGTACGCAGCTCTTCACATGATGAACTGCAGTCGCCAGGCTGTATGTACAACCCAATAACTTATTTATTTCATAACCGGAAGCTTGTACCTTTGGACTCCTTTCTCCCATTTCACTGCCTCCCCTCCCACCCCCCGCCTCTGGCAGCCCCCAGTCTGTTCTCTGTATCTGTGAGCTTGGTTTGTTTTTTCATTTCTCACATATAAGTGAGATCACATGGTATTTGCCTTTCTGTCTCTTATTTCACTTAGTGTAATGCTCTTAAGGTCCATCCAGGTTGTTGTCCATCCACAAATGGCAAGATTTCGCTACCTTTTATGGCTGAATAATATTCCATCTCACACACACACACACATCTTTGTCCATTCATCTGTTAGCGGACACTTAGATTTTTTCCATGTCTTGGCTATTGTAAATAATGCTGCAGTGAACATGGGGGTGCAGGTATCTTTCAAGTCAGCGCCTTCGTTTTCTTTGGATAAATACCTAGAAGTGGAATTGCTGGATCATCATATGGTAGTTCTATTTTTAATTTTTTGAGGAACCTCCATACTGTTGTTTTTTTTTCTTTTCATACTGTTCTTTTGTAGTGGCTGCACCAGTTTACATCCCCACCAGCAATGCACAAGCATTCCCTTTCCTCCACATCTGGCCAGTGCTTGTTATTTCGTTTATCTTTTTAGGATAATAGCCATTCTGACAGGTGCGAGGTACCATCTCGAGCTTTGCATTTTCATTTGATTTGCATTTCCCTGATGATTAGTGATGTTGAGCATCTTTTCACGTACCTGTTGGCCATCTGTGTGTCTTCTTTGGAAAAATGTCTACTTAGATCGTCTGCCCTTTTCTTTTGGACACGCGACATGTGGGATCCTAGTTCCCGGACCAGGGGTTGAACCCTGCAGGGGTCACACGCCCCCTGCAGTGGAAGCTCGGCATTTCAACCACTGGACCGCCAGGGAAGTCCCCATCAGATTGTCTTATTGCTATTGAGTTGTATGAATTCTTTATGTATTTTGGTTTTAACCTCTTACCAGGTATATGATTTGCAAATACTTTCTTCCATTCAGTAAGTCGCCTTTTCGTTTTGTCAATCGTTTCCTTTGCTGTGCAAAAGCTTTTTAGTTGGATGTAGTCCCATTTGATTAGGCTTTTGTTGCCTTTGTTTTTGGTGTCAAATCCAAAAAATCATCACCAAGACCAATGTCAAGGAGCTTACTGCCTATGTCTTCTTCTAGGTGTATTCTGATTTCAGGTCTTACATTTAAATGTCTTTAACCCATTTTGAATTAACTTTTGTGTATGGTGAGATAGTGGTCCAGTTTTCCCAACCTCATTTATCGAAGAGACCGTCTTCTCCCCACTGTGTATTCTCAGCTCCCTTCTTAATTAATTCACCGTAAGTGCACGGGCTTATTTCTGGGCTCCCTGTTCTGCTCCATTGATCTGTGTCTGTATTTATACTAGCCATCATACTCTCCTGATGACTCTAGCTTTGTATTATATTATGAAATCAAGGATCACGATATCTCCAGCTTTGTTTTTCTTTCTCAAGATTGCTTAGGGCTATTTGGGGTCTCTTGTGCTTCCAAATGAATTTTAGTGTTGTTTGTTCTATTTCTTGAGAAATGCCATTGGAATTTTGATTAGGACTACATTGAATCTGTAGATTTCTTTGGGTAATATGGACATTTTAGTAATAATTCTTTTAATTCATAAGCACTGAATACCTTTCCATTTATCTGTGTCTTCTTCAGTTTCATCAGTGGCTTCTAGTTTTCACTGTGCAGGTCTTTCACTTCCTTGGTTAAATTTATTCCTAGGTACTTTATTCTTTTTTTTTTTCCAATATTTATTTGTTTGCATTGGGTCTGAGTTGTGGCACACTGCATCTTCGTTGTGGTGCATGGGCTTCTCTCTAGTTGTGGTGCATGGGCTCTAGAGCACACGGGCTCTAGTAGTTGCGGTGCGGGCTTAGTTGCCCTGCGGCATGTGGGATCTTAGTTCCCTGACCAGGGATCAACTCGCGTCCCCTGCATTGGAAAGCGGATTCTTAACCACAGGACCACCAGCGAAGTCCTATTCTTTTTGATGTAATTATAAATGGGATTGTTTTCTTAATTTCTCTTTCTGATAGTTTATTATTAGTATATAGAAAGGCAACAGTTTCTGTATATTAATTTTGTATCCTGCAACTTCACTGAATTTGGTTACTAATTCATTTTTTGAGTTTGAAAATTATTTTTCTTTTCTGATTCAACATACTTAATCCTGTATAATCTTTGGCCTGATGATAGAAATCTGTACGACCATTAAAAAAAAGAAATAAAAAATGAAAGGGGGCTTCCCTGGTGGCACAGTGTTTGTGAGTCCGCCTGCTGATGCAGGGGACACGGGTTCGTGCCCCGGTCCGGGAAGATCCCACATGCCGCGGAGCGGCTGGGCCCGTGAACCATGGCCGCTGAGCCTGCACGTCCGGAGCCTGCGCGTCCGGAGCCTGCGCATCCGGAGCCTGTGCTCCGCAACGGGAGAGGCCACAACAGTGAGAAGCCTGCATACCGCAAAAAAAAAAAAAAAAAAAAATGAAAGGGGTAAAAATTAAATTTGTATCCATCGTAGAATTTTTGAAAAATATAAATAAGTGGAGAGATCAGGATCTACCCAGAAATCATCACTGTAACTATTCAGGTTTGCTTTCTTCCAGCTCTTTGTGTGTGGATATGTGTTTTTCTAATACTCTATATACATTATATCCTTAACTATTCTTTGAGAACGTGTTTTTAAATTAACTTAGTTTTCTATCATCTGGTTACACCACTTTTATTTATTCCCATACTGATATTTACATTCTTTTCATTTTTTCATTATTATAAATCTATCAATACCTTTACATAAATGTGTACCTTTAAAATTTTTAAAAGCTCTTTTAATATTAAAACACATATTTATACATATAAGACACGAAAGTGACTTTTTAAAATAACTGATTGTTTTTATTCAGTGAAACAAAGATAAAACATGTTTTTTAGAGTAATAAGCAAAAATCCATACAACTTGGATGCATTTTGCTGTGTGAAAGAAACCTGACACAAGAGACCTTACTGTGTGATTTCACTTATATGACATTTAAAAAAAATTTTTTTTTAATAAATTTATTTTATTTACTTATTTTTGGCTGTGTTGGGTCTTCGTTGCTGTGTGCGGGCTTTCTCTAGTTGTGGTGGCTTCTCTTGTTGCAGAGCGTGGCCTCTGGGTGCACGGGCTTCAGTTGTTGTGGCACGCGGGCTCAGTAGTTGTGGCTCCTGGGCTTAGTTGCTCTGTGGCATGTGGGATCTTCCCGGACCAGGACTTGAACCTGTGTCCTCTGCACTGGCAGGCGGATTCTTAACCACTGCGCCACCAGGGAAGTCCCTGTATGACATTTTAGAAAAGACAAAACTATAACAACAAAAAGCAGATCAGTGGTTGCCTGGGGCTGGGGCTGGGGTATTGCAGAAGGACAAAGGGAGCCCGGGGGGTGATGGAAATGCTCTACGTCTTGATTGAGGTGGTTGCTAAACAATTATATACATTTGTCAAGAGTCATCAAATTGTACACTTACAATGGGTATGATTTTACTGTTGTAAATTACACCTCAATAAAGCTGATTTAAAAATAGTCACATACCTCTGCACCCACCCAAGTGGAGAAATGAACGTTGCCAGTGCCTTAGAAGAGTCCCTGTGTGTCCTCTCCTTTCCTGTTCACAGGGAATCACTGTCCTGATCTTTGTGAAAATTCTTCCCTTGCTTTTTTTTTTAGTTTAAAAAAAAATTGTTTTTTAATTTTTGGCTGCACCATGCGGCCTTGCAGGATCTTAGCTCCCCAACCAGGGATCGAGCCCATGCCCCCTGCAGTGAAGCGCAGAGTCCTAACCACTGGACCACCAGGGAAGTCCCTTCCCTTGCTTTAAAAATTAGTTTTACCACCTGTATACATGTCTCTACATAGTCTGGATTTGCATGATTTTGAAATTCAGAGAAAGGGAATTATACTTTTGTTATTTTTTTTTTCCGCACATTGTTTGACGTCTGAAACGTCATTGTGTAAATTCTCGTTATGTTTCATCACATATCACAAATTATCTGTTCTGCTGGTGACGGACATCGGGCTGTCACAGACGTGCTGGGTCATGGAGTGTGCACATGCTCGCGCTTTGCGTGTTGTGGCTGCACCCATTCACACCTTACTGGCAGCGTGCATACCCCTCCACATTCTAACACTTCATAGTGTCCAATTTGAACATTTTTGCCAATCTGATGGGCACGCAGTGATGTTTCATTGTTTAATTTGCATTTCCATGATGAAGTTGAGTCTCTTCGTATTTTTATTGAATTTCTACTCTCATGAAGTTCCTTTTGCCCACTTTTCTATTGTATTGTCTTTTTTTTCTCACTGGTTTGTATATATATTCAGTACATCACTTCTTTGTTGGTTCTAAGTATGTGTTGTAAATATACTCACTCCTTGATGTGTCTGAGTCAAGTCATTATCAGTTCTTAATTTTAACATTGACTAATTTGTCATTATTTTTGGCTGTGTTGGGTCTTCATTGCTGCGTGCAGGCTATCTCTAGTTGCAGCGAGCGGGGGCTACTCTTCATTGCGGTGCGTGGGCTTCTCACTGCAGTGGCTTCTCGTTGTGGAACACAGGCTTCAGTAGTTGTGGCACATGGGCTCAGTAGTTGGGGCTCACGGGCTCTAGAGCGCAGGCTCAGTAGTTGTGGCGCACAGGCTTAGTTGTTCTGCGGCACGTGGGATCTTCCCAGACCAGGATCGAACCTGTGTCCCCTGCATTGGCAGGTGGATTCTTAACCACTGCACTGCCAGGGAAGTCCCAGGTTTTCGTTTTAAGAAATCTTTCTCTGTCCCAAGGACATGGAGCTAGTCTCCTATCATATCTTTTAAAAGCCTTTTAGTCTGACCTTTCACCTTTACCTAGGTCTTTAATCTATGTTTAATTCGGGTTTTTTTGTGTGTGTACAGCATGAGGTAGAGATTCAGTTTCATCTTCCCGCTCACACCTTGAGTGCTTTATCTCAGCAGTGTTTATTAAAAGCCCATCCTTCCCCTGTGGGAGGCATCTATGCTCACTTTTCCCCTGGCTTCGTCTGACTCTGCTGACGCCACACTGGGTTAAGTACCTTAGTTGCCTACCCAGTGCTGACATCTAGTAACGCAAATCCCCATGCCTTTTACTTTTTCAAGAGAATCTGGCCAGTGAGTTGCTCCACCTGGAATCTCTTATTTCTCTTCCCCTTTAGAGGGTGGAGAATAGAGTGGAGTTCTGTGAACACTGACCTCTTCCTAACTTGGTACAGTTACTTGCTTTCTCTTGGAAGCCTTCTGTGGGCAATATAATCACTTTTTTTTAAAATTTCAGCAAATCCCTTTATGAATACTCTAAGACCTTCATCGTGTCACTTGTTCTGGGCAAGGATGTGATTCCCAGGTGAGTCTGCTGGCTGTCCTGTCTGGGCTTGGGCTAGCGGGAAAGGCAGAGTTCTAAGCCTCAGTCTGGTCTTTTGCTCAACAGGTTAAGTGTGACCAACTTGGAAGATTTGAAGAGGAGAATCTTGCGAGTGATTGCTCACTGCAACAAGCCCAAGGTAACTCGGGGGTGGGGGGTGCGGAAGAGGACCTGCAGGGGTTAGGGCCTCCCCACCAGGCTGTTTGTGGCCTCGAAAGGACGTTTCTAAATTCAGAGCCTCATAGCGCAGGGCACTGATGCTGCTAGAAGCTCTTCTACCCCCGGCACAGACTATTGGCTGCTGTTCTGCAGAGGCCGCCTGAGAAGCAAATGGCTAAACCATGCGCAGGGAAGCTGCAACTAGAACATACTATACTAGAACCATCCCTGTTTGGTTAAGTGATTTTTTTTTTTTTTGTCATACTTAGTCCTGTCATGACTAACAGCGTTCTGATGGTTTTGGTCCCAAAGCTTAGAAAACAAGGCTGCCAGATAGAGTTCAGAAGGCGCTGGTATTGCTGGGCTGTGGAGTATTATAGTTGTTCCACATATAAATGCATTTGTATTTACCAGTAGAGAAGAATATCCATGATGTTTTGAAGAGTTTTTTTAAAAACGGAAGGATTAAAAATGCTTCTTAGAATGTAAGCCAAGGCAGGGGTAGGTGACGAGGTATATATAGCTTTCACCAAAAAAATACACCAAAATGTGGTTTTATTTAGGTAACGGGACTAGAGATGCTTTTTCACTTAACATCTTTGTTTTGTGACGTTTTTTGTGTTTTTGTTGCTAATTAGAAAAAAATTTTTAATTTAAAAATAAACTTCCTCCTTATCAGCTACACTCCCCCCAAATTAAAAAAAAAAAATTTGTATCTAATGTCTTTAAGGGTAAAGGGTAAAACTGGTTTACAGAATTGCCTAAAAAGAATTAAGGGTAATTTTTCCTCAAAATCTGCCTGAATTTGGTTTTTAGATATGGCTTCAAGTGTGATGGCGTCACTGCCCCAGAGAAACCTGGGTTTGGGCCCCTGACCTCCACACTCCTAAGGTCCATGTTGAAAAACAAAGCAGCCAGGCTTCTAAGTGCTGTGGGGTTGCCGCCACCAGCTCACGGGTCACAGGAGGTCTCCGGGGACCGTGAAAGCCTCACGGAGTCACACGCATGCCGTCTTCTCGGTCTCGCCCTCAGTACAAGATCCTGCTGCGCGCGTGCTGGTACGAGCTGTTTGGAGGGCACCCCGAGGACCTGCCGACGGAGCTGGATGGGGGCGACCTGACGCAGCCTCTCCTCGGGGAGCGGAGCCTGCTGGCGCACGGGTCCCCGGCCTACAGCTTCTCCAGCGACTCCCCGCTCGAGTCCCCCACCAAGTACCCCCCTCTCTACCCTCCCGGCAGGATCATCCACCTGGAGGAAGTGGGCACTTCAGGGAGGTGAGTGCGGCGGGCCGGACGTGGTCAGTCACCCACCAGCGGTGAAGGGAGACTCACGGGGGTGAGACTTGAAGAGACACTCGGCTTTTCCTCTTTCAGGTTTTCCTGCTATCCTGCTGCTCGGTACAGTGTGAAATGGTCACACGAATCGGAATTCAGCAAAATACTCATCGGCCCAAAGATGCTAACAGACCACATGCCCGACATCCTGATGAGAGCCCTGGACAGCGTGGTGTCCGACAGGGCCGCTTGTGTCTCCTGCCCGACCCAGGGAGGCTCCAGTGTGGAGGTCGCGTAACCCGGGCAACTGGGAGCTGCTCGGGCCGTGGACATCTGAGTGATTCCCACGATGCCAATGATCGGACTTCAGTGGTCTCCTAAATGACTGAGTAATTTGAGAAATACTTCTGACCACAACATTCACACAATCAGGAGCCAGGAGAGCACTGAGGTGACGGCCTCCCCCCCACCCCCCGAGACCGAGTGGGTGTCACGCCCTTTCCTGTAGGCCTGCTGATTCCCAGGAGTCCCACAGCCAGGTTTAAGGCCCTAATGGATCTGTAGGCGCCCGCCCCTCAGGCCACCTTTTCAGTGACAGGGTCCTGCCTTACGAGTTGGCACACAGGTGCGCAGTGTATTCTGCGAACTGGACTTTCCCGCCTGCACAAACTCAGTATCAGTTGCGAGGGTGCAGACTGGGGTCTGTCATGGGTGGCACTAAGCGAGGGTCAGCCCTGAGCTCCGACTGGGAATCAGACGAAAGCAGGTCGGGGAGGCGAGCAGAGACTGCAGCTCCTGGCCTCCGGGTGCCCCGTGCCCTGTTCACGCTGCTTGCTTCACCAGCCTCAGGGTGATGGCCCAGTTCTCGTGGGGTATTCGCAGAGGTCGGCCAGTGGATTCAGAGTGAGTTAAAAAAAAAAAAAAAAAAAGCACTTACGTATCATGAGTGCCTGCACAGCCATGAACTCTTCCAGTGGGTGTTTCTGGGAAGGTCTGTTTTACTGGGTAGTTTTACAACAGTCCTGTTTTAAACATCTTTTTTCTGTCCACTGTAAACAACAAAATGGAGTCTTAAGTTTTCCTGGAGCTCTGGCTAAAGACTGAAGATTGCCCAGGCGTCTGACTGCACTCCACCCCCGATCCAAACCCTGTAAAATGAGAGTAATGGGATTCCTTTAGAAAGCATGAACCCACAAGCACGGGGGGGAAGAAGAGACAGGAACAATGAGATGGCCAGAGGTAAGCGGACTCCTGGGTGAAGTGGGGAAGGAAAGACAAGAATAAATCCAGTCTACAAACCAGATGCCCCAGGTACCTCGGACCCGGGCATGAAGCAGACAGCGGGGGACCGGCCAGAGTGGCGGCTGGAAGAAATCTGGCTCCTCGCTTGCTTCAGGGTAGAGGGGGCGCTGGACACCAGCGCAGTAGAACAACTCCTCCCACTTGGCTCCCAGAACCTTCAAGAAGGTGCTCCAAGGAAATCAGACCTCTAGGGATACCTGCCCCCTCAGGGCCTAGTAGCTGTCACAGCCATGCCACCTTCGTTTTTGAAAACCCGCAAAGGTCTCTGACTGAAATGCTGTGGTAACATCCAACTGCTACAAGTTTCGTTTCTAAACATAATTCCTGTACGTTCCTAGCGGCAGGAAGGAAAGCGATCCCAGCACCTTGAACCACACCACCCTGGCGTGACCCACCTACGTGCTCAGTGTCCGGTCTGCTTTTTAGTTTTCAGCGTTCAAGCACGAGCCAGGGATTGCCAGACACTTGGGGAACAAAGGACCAAAAGAAACAGACACGGGAGAAGCTACAAACAGCTGAGGAACAGAAAGAAAGAGTGCTGCAACTACAAAACTGATCCACAAGGCTGAAAAATAGTATTTAGGGAAAAAAGAACTCCTGGACGTGAAAAGTATAAAAAATGAAATCAAAAGCAGCTGGGAAAGGGATACCTGAATAACGGGAGACAGGCTTCCAGACGAACAAGCCCACCAAGCACAGGGTACGCGAGACAAAGATCCACCCAGGACATGAAGACGCAGGGCAGACCCCGTAAGACGTGGAGATAAACGTACCGCCCCCTGCAGTGCAAACAGCCAAGACGACGGGGAGATCTGCCTTCGAGAAGCCGAAGAGAAGTTATTTCCAGCCTGGAACTTCAGACCCAGCCAAAAAGTATCAGGTTCAAATGAAGTTATTTTCAAAGATACAAGTGCTCAAAAACATAGATGACCCACATACTTCTCAGGAAACTCTTGGAGAATCTGTCCATCAAGGTGAGAAAGTAAATTAGAAAACAAGGAGTTAAGATGTAGAAAATAAAAGATCAACACGTAAGAGAAGTGGTGGTCAGAGGGCTCTGTGCCTTCAGGGAAGTGAAACCTGATGAAACACATGCAATATCCGAACGTCCTGAGAGACTCAGACAACAGATGGAAAAGTCAGTTAAGCTAATCAAGTACACAGAAAACAAAGCAAATAAACTAGTACTCCAGAAGAAACCAAGGTTGTGCAGGAAAGGCAGATTCTGCTACTACATGGCTCAGCCCTGAGCGTTTACGTGGCAGTGGCAATGCAGACACTGAATATCAGCGCCAACCCAAACGACTGTACTGAAGGGGTGGGAGAGGTGTGTTGAGGCTGGGGTTACGGCTGGTTAAGAGCTACTGCATCCCCACCAGGGAGGGGACGTCGTCATTGGTGGCTGGAACTGAAGATCCAGCGGAGCACCCAGCTCAGCCTGAGCCCCGGGGAGGGGAGGGGCTGACAGCTCAACCGGTCACCAATGGCCAGTGACTGAACTGAAGCCTCCAGAAAATTCGAAGGGACCTGGTTTGGACAGCTTCCGGGTTGGGGAACACATGGAGATGTGGGGAGAACCGTGCACCCAGGGAAGCGCCCAGCCCTTCCTCCATACCTTGCCCTCTACATCTCTTCCGTCTGGCTGTTCCCGAGTTACATCCTTTTATGATAAACCAGTGATCTGGTAAGTAAAAGAGAAAAAAGCAAGCACATGCTTTAGATATGTGAAGACAAGTACGAAGAATTACCTAAGAGAACTCAAATGGGTGCGCCTCTGGGGAGGGTGTGAAGGGGGAAGACTGCTGTTTTTGTAGCAAATCTTTAGATTTGGTCTTAAAACTGCATTGTTTACCTTTGGTTAAAAAAAAAAATAACTCTTCCAAGAAATAAAAAAGAGAATTAAAAAAACTGCTTCTAACATGAACTGTTGATAGTATAAGTTTAGGCTCCAGAAAGGATCTTAAAGTCGTATCGTCAGTCCCCACCTTACCAGGCTGCCAGCTCGGGTTCCAACACGTGCGTCTTCAGCCCAGAGCTCTGGTCCGAGATGCGGACACACGTCCCCGCGTGGACATCACATGAGTCTCGCCAACATTCGCCAGGTCTCAAACCGAACGTCACTCAACGCCCCCTCTTTGTTTGCTGGCTCCTCCGTCTTCTCCCCGTAGAGGGACCGCTCCCTGTCCCCCCACCACGAAAACATGCGTTGGAAATGAACATCCAACGACCCAGGGTTTTACAGGGAGGCAAACACACACATACCCCAGCAGGTGGTTCCCCAAGCTCTCAAGAACTCCAGTATTACCAATCATGATTCAAGGATTTATTAAGTCATACATGCAAAACATACTGCTAATCGCATTAGCAAAAGATCAATGTAAAAACACTCCACAATTCTGCAACTGTCAATTTAAAAAATTTTGTTCTAGTGGTTGAAAGGTCCAAGCTCGTATTCTTGCCAGTGGGTAAGTTGTACAGAACTTCGTTAGCACGAGCACGGGGTTGACAGAACCTCACAGACCCCAAGGAACATTGTTAGGGCAAGGACAGGAAGCGTGTGCACGCTGTGAGGCAAGAGGCGGTCAGTGTTATTAGTCCAGGTGCAGTGTCGGTGATCTGGCAGGGTTTACAGTTTAAGAATATCTAAGTATTTTAAAAACTGTAAACCTGCAACATAGGATTTTTACACCTAGTTACTAGAAAACCAAGGAAAGCACTTACTAGCTTTGGATAAGGTAACATGAAAACAGGAATGCACTTTTACTAATCTACAAAAAAAATTTTCTAATGCATATTCAGAACGATTTTATAATACAAGGAGGCATATTGCTCATTAAGAAGGGGTTCTATAAGAAAAGCACTTACTAAGTTAGCAACTATGAGAATGATGAGGTCAAAGATGGATTAAATGCCCAATTTCAGGAGGGATGGGCACGTTTAAGGAAAAGGAAAAGCTTAAGAAAACACTGATAATACCGGCCTTTCTTCATCATCTACTGCATCTGACAGAAATTAACCTTTTAAAACGTTTACCCGTGACACTTTTAATAGTTTAATTATTACGTATACAATGTAGTGTAAATTAATCTCCATATTTTGTTAAAATACTGTCTTCATCCTCTGATCACAAGTGTTCCACACACTCCACCCAGTGCACCCACGGCCAGAGCAGAATGCTTCATCGGAGGGAACACGGGAGTAAAAGCTCTGTTCAAAATCTCACAAAAGCTAATACACTAATTTGTTTTAAAAATCTCACTACGAAATCAAAAAGATTGATCCAAAGAGCTGAGCTGTTACACTCGTTCATTATGACGTACAGTCCAGTGTTAGGTAGTGAACGTGGGCTGGTAAATCAGGATGCATTAAATGGCAACGTTTCAGGAAGGAGGCTGTACTGCTCTTCGCGTCTGAAACCCATTAGCGAGCGTCTGCATCTCCTGCCTCAGAAGCTAGTCTCTTCCAGACAAAGGCCTTTGAACAGTTTAGTGCTTAGTGTTCTTAGCCCAACAATGCAACTTAGTTCACAAGGTATTTTGGCAACTCTTAATCTGAGCAAGAATAGGGGCTTTGAGAAATAAGGCTTTAAGGAAGCTCGTCATCTTAGGGCTAAACTTTAATAGGATGTGAAAGTTTGAACTCTTACACTTTAAACAAACAAAACCTAGAAATTACTGATTGGTTCAAAACGGTTTTATGGAAAAACTAATCTGTAACAAAAACTTGGCATTGAGTGCGAAGGCTCCACCGTTTGAGCAAAGCGTACAAAGGGTCCTGGGGGACGGGGACAGGCGGGAGGGGCCCGGACATTCACAACAGCAGGCATTTTCTCTTCCTCTTCTTGACGGGGGGCGGGCAGAGAACCGCCCGGATAGCTTCATCAAACACCGTCTTAAGACCTCGCTGCGTGAGCGCCGAGCACTCCAGGTATTTGACGGCACCTGTGGGAAACACAGCCTCACCCTCAGATCAGAACGGGGGCGCCCCCCACCCTGACATGGCACCGAGGGCCCTGCTCTGCGGGGTCCCGAAAGGCAAGCCAGACCCCGAGTCCACTTCCCCAGGCGGGACTGCAGCCTCCATCACGAAAATAAAAACGTGGGCAAAGCAGACATGACAATGGGGGGTTCCATACCGATCTCCTTGGCCATGGCCAAGCCCTGCGGGTAGGTGATGGGTGTCAGCTTCTTCTCCTTCAGTTTCTCAATCGTGTCTTTATCATCCCTCAGATCAAGTTTCGTCCCCACCAGGATGATAGGAGTGTTGGGACAGTGGTGTCGCACTTCAGGGTACCACTAGGCACCAGCAGAGGAGGCAGTCAGCCTCTCCTTCGGAACCGCCCTCGCCTGAACTGTATCCACACAGGTGGCCCAACTGCATCAACCACCCACTTGGTCACCGTGTCCCCTTGCCTAGCTCACACCCTCCAGAACCACCGACTGGCTGCGGTGTGTGCCTAGCCAGCCTGGAGCCCAGGACTCAAGCCCCTACTGACAGCTCTACTTGTCCGTAAGAGAGGAGAGAGGAAGGACGACCCCCCCCCCCCCCCCCACCCAACTACTTTGTTTTTGGTAAAACAGGCCAGGTTCTTAGGTCATCTCAAAATCCCTTACGTATTCAAGGATGAGAATAAAACTATCTGGACCCAGGTCTCAGCTCTGCCGCCATTACCCCCACCAGACACGTCCCCGATCCCAACTGAAGGGCCTCTCACCCGTCATTTTCACTACGTTCATGAAAGATGCCAGAGTAGAAAGTATGGTCATTATTTTTATTAGATCGACTCCGAAGTGCTTCATTATTTTAACCAGGAACACGGCACTTCTGAATCAGACCTTGAGACTTTAGAACTCTGCATACTCAAGTCATGTACCTAAAAAACTGATGACTTATGTAAAAAATTACCTAAGTAGTAGAATTACTAAAATCAACTTAAATAACTGAAAGTTTCTATCAGTAAATGGTATTTTATTTTTTAATGTTTCTTCCTGAGAGTGACATTATGTAACAAAATATTTTCCTAAAAAATCCCACTTACCTTTGCACGAACATTTTCAAATGATGCAGGACTCACAAGAGAAAAGCAAATCAAGAATACATCCTATAAAAAGAAAACAGGGAGGTGTTTAGAAAATGGTCTTACAGCGAGGAATGCACTTTGCTTCCTGAGTGCTGCTGGGAGGGAAGCATGGGGCCAGGGCATACGCCTTCTCCCTGACACGCCTGCAGTGTAGTCAGACGCTCCCAGACCAGAACCAGCATGTGAAGCACCAGTTACCAGTGAGAAGGGGAGTGGAGGACGAAATATGCTATAAGTTACTCGAGGCTACAGAGAGACATCAAATTTAGACCCCTGGGAGGCCTCTTTTCCATCCTTCCCAACTCCCACTGGGAACTAACTTAATGCTCTGTTACTACACGGGGACAAGGACGAGTGTCAGGTACTAATGGCAATATTTCTATAAAACTTGGTTTCAGTCCGTCAAAAGCAGATTCAAATTAAAAACTGTTATCCTCAAATGGTATGCTTTTCATTACGCTCCCATCAGAATCTTAAGTACAAACATTTTCAGATGGTCACTGGGTTCCAATTAAACTGCTTCTTAAAGAACTGCCGTCAGAGTCCCAGGCACAAAGCCGGGTCTCAAGACTTCGCTAAACAGGCACATCCCTCTGGGAGGGAGGACGATCTGGTATGTAAGGGGCGTCTTGCCAGCTGTCAGAGCTTCTCAGACCCAAGGAGGGCCTCCGGAAAACTTGCACCATGTTGTGTAAAAAGTGAAATTTGGGGCTTCCCTGGCAGTCCAGTGGTTATGACTCTACGCTTCCACTGCAGTGGGGGGAAAGGTCTGATCCCTGGTCCAGGGAACGAAGATCCCGTGTGCCACGAGGCGTGGCCAAAAAAGAAAAAGTGAAATTTAAATATTTACCCATGTTAAAAAATGCCTACGAGTTTCTAAAATGCTAGATTTATGAAACACTTTCCTGGAAAAAGGCAATTAGGCTACTCTGTGAAATGCACACAATTCCCAAGCTAACACTTGCGATCATCCAGCTGCTATCTTGTACCTGAAAGGGAAGAAACATCCCACACAACAGCTTTTCGTAAACGACACTGAAAATGCTAGCACATGCACAAGCTCGTCCAAGAATCACCACAGCATCTCGGCACCTGGGCTGATCACAACATCTCAAAGCAGGGGTGGGTTAGCTCACCAGCGCCGCGCAGCCTCGCCCGACAGGCCCTGCACCGGACACCAAAGCGGGAGGAAGGAGGGCCCGCAGCGTGGTTAGTCCCGCTCCCGCCAAGCACTTGGGCCACGTGAGCTGCAAGGTAGAGCCTCCGCACTCCTTCCCCAACCAGCCTGGACAGGGGCCCTTGCACGACAGTCCCTCCTGTCCCCTGGGAGGGGGAGGAAAGCAGTTCACACACTGCTCTGATTCAAGCCAGTAAATAAACTGTCAGGCAAAACCCCAACCTTGAGTGTGTTAAATATAAAACACTCAAGGAACATGAGGCTCAATAGGAAATCCTAGGAAAACTAAGTGAAACGAGAGAACAGATAAAGCTTGAAACTGAAGTCGACTGAAAGTTTTACATACGGCAATCGGCTTGTCTTTGCCCCTGGAGGGTATATCCTTACCATACGTTTCTCCAACCTAGTAATGCATGAGAACTTTGAGTTTAGTAAAAAGC